AGGAAGTAAAAGAAATAAAAGTGAAAAGGTATTTCGAATAAATAAGTTAAATAATTTGTAATATCACTAATTAATATTAATTTGAAAGAGAAATATAGAAAATGTAATTCCCACTATATATAAACCCCTAAATATCTATTTATATTCAATCTAAAGAATTAGCTAAATAAGGGAAATAGTAAACCTTATATAGATACTATTGAAAAAACTAATCTCCTTCGCTTTCACCTAATACTCTTAATATAGTTATTATTATATTGAAGTAAATCCTTTGAAGTAAATTCCCTTAAATGAATTCCCTTGTTCATACAATTTCAGACCTTTTTCAGAATTTTTGGGATTTTTTTTGAATATTAAAAAATTAATAGAAAGCTTATAAAGTTTCACTATTTTCAGAATTTCAAACCTTTTTCAGAATTTTTAGGATTCTTTTTAAATATCGAGGAATCAGCGAAAAGCTTGTAAAGTTTCACTATTTTTAGGATTTCAGGTTTTTTTCAAAGTTTTCAGGATTTCTTTTGAATATTAAGAAATTAATAAAAAACTTGTAAATTCCGTTATTTTCAGGATTTCGAGTTTTTTTCAGAATTTTTGAGATTCTTTTTGAATATTGAGGAATTTGTGGGAAACTTATAAAGCTCTGTTATTTTCAGAATTTTCAAGTTTTTTCAGGACTTTTGAGATTTCAGATCTTTTAGGATTTTCGGAATTTCAGGTTTCTTCCGGACATTTCGGATTTTCATTATCTTTGTTACGTAAGCGGACACAATAGAAGTTATAAGCTTTACCACTACACTACACACACAATCTGTCCAAAAGGCACAATATCAGAAATCGAAGTCCTAATAGCTTACTACTATATATATACCCTGTAACAATCTTCGGGATTCCTTTTAGGTTTCAAGGAATCAGTAGGAAATTAATGGAATTCTATTTTTTAAAGATTTTAGAATTTTAAGGGTATTATCTGGCTAGTTTATAGAATTCTATTATTTTTAGAATTTTAAGAGTATTAGCTCAGTTAGCTTATAAAGTTCTATTATTTTTCAGTATTTTTAGGATTTTTAGAAAATAGAATACTATTTGTTAGCAAATTACTGTTAAATTCTAATTTTATATATTTTATATACTTTTAAGGAAAAAAACTGAAAAAAAAAACTAAACTCTATTAAATACAAACCCCCACCTCACTATCGAATACAACCTTTCCGAATATAAATATTGAATATAAATTATTATCTTACTAAAAACAAATCAATTTCTTTTTTAAATTTTTTGAATTTTTTAAGATTTTCAAGTTTTAAATATAAATTGAAGTATATGGATTGGATTATATAGATTGGATTAGATCTTGGTACTTTTATATTATAATATAGCTCTTTTCAAAAACTATAAAAAAACTGAACCTTATAAAATAAAAATATAAGTATTGCAATACTAGCTTATTACTATAGAAATTAATAAGGCTTAGAAAAAGAGATCGATATAATAACAATCAGTCATCAAATAGTTTTAAAAGCTTTTGAGAATAAAAGTTTAAGAAGGGGGGCTTTATTACAAACATTAATATGATATAAAATCGATATCGGGCTGATTATTAATCCGAAAGTGAAAAGTTTTTATATATATATATAGCTTCAGAAGAGAGGTTTCAAAGGAATTAATGAAAAGTCTTATTCTAAGCCTACATTTATATTCTATACTAGTCGTTACCTTGCATTGATTCTAACAGACGTATTATAAATTATTAGCTTTTAAATAATCTATTTCAATTCGAAATCAAAAATCTTGATTATTGATTATTGATTATTGATTTAAAAAGAGAATTTTAGAAATAATGTTATTTTTTTTCGCTGTGCTGTTTATTTTGTCCAGAGTAAAAACCTATTTACCGAGCCAGCCAACTCTGTAGATTCTTCCATTGTCTCATATCCCCATCTCCACAATCTCCATTCTCGCGTCTAGAATTCTGTAACAAGATACTTCCCTTAATCTGTCAATCATAGTCGATATGATTTCTCTTCTCCCGGTTTCATTCTCTTTTTCTTTTTCTTCATCTTCCTCTTCATCATCATAATGTAAACGAAGAGGTGCAAGTTCCGGACTCGAGTCGAACTTTTTAATTGCGTGCAGGAGATTGTCGGTATTTTTGTGTTTGTTTTCATGAGGATAGAATGTGAAAGATGAGGTTGGGGGTGTGGAAGCTACCAAGGAGGTGTAGGTGTATGATGAAGAGGGAGGAGCGGGGGAGGGTGTGTAGTGAATTTTTCCTTGGGGGAGAGTTGGATTTGGAGCTGGAGTTGGAGTTGGGGTTGCAGGGTCGAGTTTGATATTTGTGGTGGGAGAAAGATTTTCTTCGTATCTCCAGGATAGGAAACCTTTTTCTTCTTTCTCTAGATTTCGATCTGGATTTCGATTCCCACGCTTCTCTTCGCGTGATACTCCCACCAGATTATCCAGCGTAAAAATCCCAATCCGCTGGCCCGTCTCGTGACTAAAAACGATGAATTCGTGGGCACCCATCTCCCTATCTTGTTCGTCCTCATGATCGCTCTTGATAATTTGCGTAGAAGATCTATACAGAGAAGTGGTTTCGAAAACCATGGGTACGAATGTTCCTTGCAGGGTTTTTCCTTCGTCGGTGGTGTACTCCACATCTTCGATGCAAAACCAAAGTTGTTCGTATATTTCTGGAGAGAGGTCTACGTTTTCGTCTTTGGATGTTTCGGGGGTGTTGAATACCCAGCGAGTCCAGCGCCAGGAAGCGGTGGAGATGCATCCGGGGTGGATAATGCGAAAGTTGTTGGAATCGATGGGGAAGAAGTTTTGGAGAAGGGTGCGTGAGGTGCTGAAGGTTAGTGTTGCTGTGGTTTTTGAGAGGGTTGAATTGAGGTGGGGATTTGAAATTGGCGGGGTTCCAGATCCGGATGAGGTCTGTTTGGTTGTATATTGATGGGGAAGTCCGGGAGAGGGGAGCGGTCCTAGAAAATGGGGTATGATTAAGATGGGCTATAGATCAGAGTGATAACTTGATTGGTGAAGACGTACCGAAACTAGCGGGTCTTAAATAGTGAGCAGAAAGATGAGGATTGCGTTTCCACATCCATTTTCGGAGTTCATGGGTTGAATTATCCCATTCGTCATGCTGCAAGTTGTGGTTCACGAATTGGCGAACTGGATAGAGATATTAGTACGTCATCAAGGTATACCCAAAAAGAATGATGTGAAAAGACAATAAGGAAAGATGACGCACTATCAATAATAACATCATCTCCGTCCACAGGATCTCTCCCTAAAACCCTCGAAAATTCCTGAATCCGATGAGCTCTTCCCATTCTGATTTCCTCGTATAATTTCAACCGTTCTTGAATATCTTCTTTTCTAACATCGCCCGGGAGAACAACTGCTAAAGCAGCAGCATCCTCAATAGCACTGCCGGCCCCTTGACCTTGATGAGGCAGATATGGATGTGCTGCGTCGCCTAGCAATACAAGATTTTCCCTTGTAAAAGTGGGGAGTGGATGCATGTCAAGAAGACGCCAGACTTTGAGGGAGCCGGTTGCGTTTGTATCAGAGGTATCAGACACAGGAGCCATTTTCAATAGTTCCAACATATCTTCATCCCAACCGTCATAAATCTTCAACAAATTTTCCTTATCGCCTCCCTTTCCCCATCCTTCTCCATTATCCGTATTTTCAGACAATGCATCAGGATGTAAACAAACGAAGTTGAGTAAGGAATTAGAAGAAGTTGGATAAATTATCACGCGCCGATCCGTCCCAAACCACATGATCAATTCCCCATCTTTCTGCATGAATTTTGCGGTTTTGGGGTTAGAGAGAACGGAGGAACGAGAGAGAAGAAAACGATAGGCACTTTTCCCACACGCGAAAGGGGAGATTTTGCATTCTGGGGTTTGGACAAAGGAGCGAGTGAGGCTGTGGACGCCGTCTGCGCCGATGATCAAATCGCCGGTGCAGGATGTACCGTTTGAGAAATACACGGTGGATGTAGTGGGGTCGAGAGTGGTTACTTTGTGGGAAGTGAGGAGGGTAATGGGAGGGTGTGGGGGAGATAATGCGAGGGCTTTGGATTTAAGATGGGAGTGAAGCTGCACGCGGTGGGCTAGAAACCAGGGCTAATGAGGAATCAGTTAGTTTTTTAAGGAATGGAAGTAAGGGGAAATACGTGATGCCATTGCTTGTCTTCCTCGATTAGATCCATAGTTCGGTTCAATGAACCGGAAGACGTGTACTCTGTCATCTAGAATGAGTAATCCATATTAGTGAGTGAGCAGTATAAATAGGCATGATCTTCAAAAAATGATAAGAAGAAAATCATCAGACAAAAGCCGAAAATAAGCAAGCTCACCCAATTCAGAGAATTCGCACCGCTTTCCTCCAGGAATACACCCAATCTTATCAATATTCCATTCGCATTCGGTTGAATATGAATCGCAGCACCATATTCCGAGGCAAATTGGGATTGTTCGAAAACCTGTAATATCCTCGTGAGCTTGGAAACCAGTGATCAAACTTAGCTTCTTGCAGTGAAGCATGGCTAATAAGGGTGAGAAATGGGTTGGACAGATGTACAGTAACTTCATGACCCTGTTCTCTCAAAGCAATTGCCGCAGTTAAGCCACCAATGCCAGCTCCTACGATGATGATCTTGAGAGGCATGGTAGAGATTTTGGTAAGAAATACTCAAGTCTATTGCTTTTTCTCTGAATTGAATTCAACTGCAAGCTTTCGTCGATTATATGAAATTTGGGAAAAGGTGACAAGGCAGTGAAGTAGGATTGCCGTTTCTGTGATGTCGTACTGGCAATTCTTGAGACTAATGACAAAGCAGCTGAATCAACAGTCTCGCTTATTGTGTAGCAAGCGGCTCCAGCCGTTTATGCATCCATTCATTAGTGCTGCATGGAGTGGAACCAATCAGATGTATACACGAACCTAATTTCAATCATTACTTTGATTATGATTTGGTTGTTTCCTTTTCTAATAATAAGTATTTAAGGTTTTTTCGTCTATAGTATGTGAGAAGATCAAACATCTCCGTCTCATCCCGGGCACACTCACTCAAAATTCAAAGAGGCTAAAACCTTTGATTGCGATTTTTATCCCAAATTTTCTGTGGAGATTGAGGCTCCCATGGCGCTTGACTTCACGTTCTAAAATCTAGAACCGACTGAAGTCTTCGATTGCTATAAGCTCGAATCAACTTTGTGCGCGCCTACCGCTCTCAATCATATACAATTTCCAAGTTTCTTGTATAAAATTGTCAACTCGATTTCATCACAGTTGTCAGGCCCAAAGCTTTCGGAGAACTATGATCTTTTACCCTTTTGTCTTCTCTCAAGCTTCTACCTTATGTCTGTGGCAAGTTGCGAATCTTGTAGAATTGCTGGTATATGAACCATTTACCTTTAGCATGCTGATCTTGGCAAACTTCCTGTACAGGGAAATTACCAGGCACGGACAGCAAGAATTTGGTGTTAGTAAGCCCTCAACCATCTGACCCTTTCTCATACGATAGAATTCGGATCCTTTTCGAACTCTATCTATTTACGTCACTCCTGTCCGGTCCCTCACCAGTGCTCACCATCTCCAACGGCCAAGCGATCAATTCCTGCAACTCAACTTCGTCCCCTGCTAGTGACAAAGTCTTCTTGACGTCCAAAATGAGGTTTCGTCCCCATTCTCCAATAAACCAGTCATCCCGAGATGCATGAAGTGCCACTCCATAATGTGCCAAGATTACTAATGCGAGCGGTCGCATTTCCTTCAGCAGCGTTGCAAAGCCCTGTTCTGCATCAAGTAAAAAGGGCCATATTAAAACAACTCCATTGTCCGCTTCACTCGAGTTTAAAAGCATGAAGACGTCTCGTAGGGTGCTGATGGCGTTTTTGTAAGCACTCAATTCTTCAGAGGAGAGTGGAGAAGGAGATGTGTGCTGAGATGAATAGGATTGTTGCGTAGATGATTCTGATGACGATAAGTTTGGCTGCGATGACATTGACTCGATGCGTGCCATAAGAAGCCTAAAGGCCGAGTCCGAAGATTGGAGGCGAATTTTGGCGTACGACCCGGCTTCGCAAGACTGGAAGCGATTTGTGACGAGGGCAGAGATGGCACTGTCTTCTAGCCACTGCCAGTAGATGCGAACTAGTGTGAAGGCACCTTGGAGAAGAATGAAGAGGCTGGAAGCCAGTTGAATAGGACTATCAAATTGCTGCAGTTGTTCATGGTAGGAGTAGTCAGAGGGCATTGATAGAGGGGATTTGTTGCAGATAGGAAACGCGAGAGTACATATAGAGATCAACGTAGAGCAAATGAACATTGCAGAGCAGTTATCTGGTGTAATTTTATGCAATTCAGATCGATAAAGCGAGAGAAAAAGGTCATGATGTCGGATTGCAGGGGCAAGATATAGGTCTCTTTTGGCGGGATTGAGAAACGCGAGATGAAGGGCAGAAATATTTAGAAGACCGTGCATCATGAACGGGTGATCAGAAGCCATTTTTGGGATCGTGATCCGCCATAGATTTTGGATTGATTTAATGCAGGAAAAGGTCAGATATGTCTCGGTAACGAAGTGACGCATGAGTTCTAGATCTTCCCAAAAGATTGATGCACCAGTCTCCGCACGTGAGAGATGCGGAGGAGTAGAAATTTGACCCGAAAAAAGAAATTCCTGGTCAGAAGCTTCGCTGTAGGTTGTAGAGATGTCAGAGACTTCGCGTTCTTGTTCGGAGACGGTCGAGGTAGTGGGTGGAAGGAGAAAAGGCTTAGATGCCTGACTTATATCCTTCCGCCGCAATCCATAAGTACAATTCTTTTCTTTCTTTCTACATGACCCACAGGTAGGATGGCCTTGATCGCACTATGATGTTGTCAAGATTTTGCTAAAAAGCTCCTGAAATCACGGATTTACCTTGATGTGAGAGGCTTTGCACTGTATGCAACCGTGTCGACTCTTTGTGTGAGGTCGCCTCAGCGGCATTTTGAGTCAGGTTACAGCAGGTAGCCGAGTAAGGTGTAGAAGCTATGTCAGTTTTGGTGTTGTGGGCGTGACAAATTAAAATAATCTGAGTAGACAGATGCTTTAGGAACCAATGTAGGGTTGTATGCCAGCGTGGCCAGGAATGGGATGGAAGTCATTCTTGCAAAGTTGAGGCGCAATGCAATGCAAGTCCCAAAAGGGCCCGAGGCCGTGTCAAAGATTCTGCTGAGTAAGCAATACACACAAGTACCCGACGGAGTAAACCGAGTGGGCCATATCATATCAGGTTAGGGCAAATTATTTTCTTAGCGGTAATAACAGAGGCGGTGAGACAACCTCTAGCGCTATACTCGTATATCGTATATCGTATCTGCTTAGGTAACTGCTAGGAAGTGTGGTTCATGAGTCGGTCGAATATATCAGTGGGCCGGACGCTTTTTCAGTCCACCAATTCTGAACAGTTTTCCACGGTATAGCAACTGAGTTTAATAAGGCTCTGTTATGAGAAAGTAGATTCCATATACTTCCCGTAAATACAACATCCTTATCCAGAATTGTGCCTGGGGGGCCCTCCAGGTTAGATCACGTGACGCGAAACTACACGTGACTGACCGCAATACCAATAAATCAATCATCTATTTCTTTTCTTGAGCTCAAACTGTTCAAGCACACTTCCAATCTCAGCCTCCTGCAGGGGCGCCTTTTCATTCATATACGCGCTCAACATTTGCCTCCCTTCCAAGACCCGTTTTTGAGCCGTTGAAAGCCCCATATCATTGATGCTCTTGTACAGGCCCATGGCCGGGTAGGCCATCAAACCAAACATTGCTGCCCCCAAAATCAGCTCAAAGTTCTGGCTCGGAATTATATCAGGAAGTACGAAAAAAGAGAACGGAGAATCTTCAGATGAGATCCGAAACACGTACCAGCTCCAGGTTTAGTTATGAGACCCACGGTCCCCTTAGCAAGACCTTTTGCAAATCCAAGGGCGCCGTCCTTCTTAGCTCCTTGCATTGGTTGCGTGACTATGCCAGTAATACCATCATAGAACCCATATCCGAAGCTCTATGAGATGATTAGTCACATATCAAGGCATAAAAGAGGCAATAGGATAACGGTACCTTTCCTGCGATCACACCCCCACTCTTCCAATCTGTCAAAGCTCCATGGTCGCGCACCTTCTCACCATATAAGGTTGGAACGGCATGAAATCCATCTGCTAGAGCCATGGGAACGGAAACCAATGTTGCTTTGGTTATACTACCCCCTAGCGCGACCATACCGTGTCCAATAGCCCCGCTAGTAGAGCTGACCTTATCTGCTCTACTATCCGACGCCACGTTAAAGGCTTTATACGGGTCAGCGACGGTGTTCCATAAAGCAGTTGAAAAATCAACAATAGTGCCCAGTAGCACAGAGGATGTAGCGGTAAGAGGGCCCCAACGAGGGTTTTCAATTTCGAAAGGCCGCGACTTAAACCTTGTGTGAATCAGTAATTGCAATCTGGGTTTATCACTTTTTAGTTTGATACTTACACTGTAAGATCCTTTGCAACGATCTTCTTGTTTTTCAGTAATATATATGCAGCTCTATCGGACAACTTGACCTGGTAAGCCTTCCTGCTCCAAAGCCATACAGCATTTTGGCTTCCTAATAAATCACAACACATAGCGTCAAGTGGTAGGTTGCGATGGAACGAGTTGGCAGCCTCTTTGACCCCGCGTTCATCTTTCATTCGAGCAGCGATTAAGGCGGCTGCCCTTCCGGTCTCAGGCGCTTGGCAGATGCGAATGGCGGCAGTTAATTTGGCACTGTCGAGAGTTTTAAAGTTTATAGGCCGGGGCCCGGCGCCAGCGGCAGCTACCATATCTGCCCAGAAAGGTTGACTGAACCTGTCAGTGATCAGAAGCCCCCAAAGATGCTCCAAGAGCGGGACGAAATCACGAACTCGCCGAAGAAGGGTATGATTGAGGTTGGACGGCCGTTCAACAGCCCACATGCCGTAGTTCCTGCTCCACCATGGTGGATGACGATTGAGACGTTCTTGAAAAGCCATTCTGCAGCATAATTAGCGGATACCCACACGCCAATGTAGAAATTCTCTTACCATGCGGACAGTCTCCAATAAAAAGAACATTCGGGTCTAAGCGATTTGTTCCGAGCTTGCTCCAGCCCTTGGAGACAATGGCCCTTACGCCACACGCTCTAGTGGCCTCGAGTATTATCTCAGTCATCTTTGCAGCATCTTCCATGACAATGCTTCCGAAGCCAATGTAAATTGGCATTGGGCCTGATTTCAGGAACTCTGCTAGCTCTCTATCTGGTGTATATGGAGTCTCCTCGCGGAAGAAAAAGCCGCACACATCTGCCAATCGATTTAGCTGTTACTCCAGACAAATCTTAGTAGCTTACCAATGTATGATGGCCAGTCTACAGGCTTCGGTATCAGCGCTGGAGACCAGCAGTATGTAAATGGAATTTTCAGTGCCTCCGCAAGGCCCATACCGGCCATAGCAGGAACGGGCTCTAGATTCAGTGCCTTCTTCCTCCACAAATTGATTACATCAGATAAGCTGCAATGGCAATTAGTAAATTCATTTGAGCCTCTTGAGACGCACTAACCCTTGCCAAGTCATCATGTCGACTAGCCCATACGACAAATAGTTGGCCGTCCTTGGATCTGCATCTCCATTCTGTATGTTCGCTAAGGGGTGTGGGAAGGCTCGTGTCGGACTCCATGGCATAGTAAACATAAGATGCAATGGTATACTGAGCGCTTGGGCACAGTGAATGTGCGCAAAGCTTGGCGGGTTCGCAATAATCGCGTCAGCGACGAAAGGTATGCCTGTTGTGGGATCTGGCATGATGCATGATTCCCAGCAACCGTTGAGCATTTTGTAGATCATCTTGCGCTTGCGTCCAATGTCTCCTGATCGCAGCGTATCGAAATTAGGTATGATACTTGGATTTTTAACCATGTACTACGGACGTGAGTTGCGTTAAGTCATAGGGGGGAATGGAGGAACACACGGCCATAAGACCAGCGGGATCGCCGCCGATAGGGAAGAATTCTAGTTCCGACGATTCGACGAAGTCTTTAAAATTTCCATGTGTTGCTATGCGGATGCGGTGGCCACTAGCCTTGAGCTCTTGTCCTAACGCAATGAAAGGCTGTACATCGCCTGTGGAGAGTAAGCATGTAACCAACACACTGTTTGCCTCTGTGCTCCCGCCAGCATACCTCTACTACCAACGATTTGGATGACGATATTAAGCGGAGGGTGGGCAGAATATGTCGCTATCAATGCCGCATCGGGGGAGCTGTTATCCGGAAGTATTGGTGGAAGTATATCTGAGCTTGCTGCTTTCGCCTTTACACAAACATCAAGCCGACCGTCATCTGCCGTGCAATTGGTTAGAGGGGACATTCATGCCGGGGATGGAAAGTACCTGTAATCGTCGCTGAGATATTTCCTGAGCTTCCATGCAGAACCGCGTCATAAGGCGGTGGTTGGTCCCAGTTGATATGGTCATTTTCAGATAACTCCTGAATCTCGAAATCACCTTCCCGATTTTTGGCTTTGTAACTCATATTGCAAGACAAGAAGTGTGGTATTGTTGCTGCTTTGGAATTGCATTGAAATACGTAGTCTTGAAGGAGATTTTGAGTACCAGGCGAAGCTGGAGGGTCTTTGCTAGGAAAAGAATGGGGTGTGACGGCTTATGAAATACCACTTGACAGATTAGCTTGGATCCCCAGGTTAATTGCCAAGGTGTCTTGCCGCTAAGTCGCCCGATCCCGGGATAATTCGATTTCAGGCGGTGATCAGACTAGCGGCAGATCTTAAGCGAGTACGGTGATGAGAGTTATGGCAGATCTTAAGCGAGTACGATGAATGACTTGGATACCGGTAGTGTACTCTTAGCGTGCTTCAAATCTATGACATACATCATCTGTTGTCATCCTTGAATTTGTCACCAAATTATTAATAATCCACTTATTAATAGGGCTTTATTTCATTTGATTAATGCTGATAGTACAAATTCATCAAATTATGAAAATACTGTATAGACGTAACGAGAACTACCTACTCAAGGGGGCCTACTCCCTCTAAAGGATGGAGGATCTGAGTGGGGTGCTGGATTGTGGCTAAGAGAGGGGGCTAGTAGGCCTATGATTACTCCTAATGACTAATTGAATCTTGATTCATCATATGCCCTTTCCAAATTAGAATCTAAATTAACTCATAGTACTCCTTTTTTGCATACGAGGTAAGTTTGCTAAAATCTATATAATCCAGAAGTACTCGCTGTAATATGTAGAAATTTTCTTTTCAGCCTTCTCTGAACCTTAGAAGTCTATGCTTTCAATCATTTTCACGGAACACATCCCTTGCGTCTAAATTATGTTTGCAGCCACAGGTCTTGTACCGGCCATTATCCTTCTAGGGAGCGGATGGCTTGTTGCTGCCATTGGTTCTTCATCGACTTGTCAGGCCCAAGTTGCAGCAGCTACACTGACTCCGCGACAGCTTGGCGCAAGCAACAACACGCCCACGAGAGGAGTAGGAAGCTTTTGTGAAAGCAAAATTACAATTCAATCTGACGGCAAAACCCCAGGCATCGTAATTATCGATCATGGCATGAACGTTGGAGGCGTTCCAACCTTCCAAGTCGTTTCACATTCTGGTAATACATCTATCTTTGAGATGACCTACAGCGAGAGTCGAAAATTGCTGGATGACTACATGGTACGCTGATCTTGATGCCCAACTTCGTAGATCGTTTACTACTTCTCATATTATTGATCAATATGCTCATTGATATCCTTTAGGGCGATGGCCCTTTGACGCTGGCAGCATCACTCGACACATACAGAGTAAATCGGTACAATATCACCAAAGATACCGCATTTACCAACCGTTTAATTCAAGGAGGTCAGCGCTACCAGAAGCTTAATCTTTCCACAGCTGGCGAACTTGTTCTTGAAAATGTTGGCATTATCTCAACGACATCTACCACCCCAATAGACCAGTTACCCGGATCTTTCAAGTGTTCAGACGATCAATTGAATCAAATATGGCAGACAGGGGCGCGAACTTTACAATTAACGGGGATTCCAGCAGAAACTATACCTGACTATTATCTGGTCTCGGATCAGGGGCTTTTTGCTGAAAATCAATCCCCACAGCCCTATTCCAGTGATACTTCACCATTAATGATGCAGTATCAGCTTGATTTTTCAGTTATGCCAACAAAGGGAGGATTCGGCTACACCGTACTCAGCGATACGCTGGGCTCGGGCATCTATATATTCGTAAATTTGGCAAATTTTTCAATCTCGGCGCACTTTGGAAGCACTGAAAGAGACTCACCTGCTTTAGCTTCAGCTACTCTGGATCAAAACTTTGCCTTTGATGAGTGGCACAAAGTCTCAACATTCGTCAACATGACGCATATCGAAGTTAGCATTGATGATTACTCATTAATGAATTTTACACAGACTTCAGCATTTGCTGGGTCTTTCGGATTTGGGGCATCGTTTGGACAATCAGCATATTTCCAAAATGCGACATTGCAGAGTCTTCAGGGACAACTCATATACAACGCTAGTCTCACACAATCGTCTGTACTCAAAGACTTTCTTTCGGGAACAAATCCGGAATCTGTCAGTGTTGACGGCGCACGACGGGACCGTATTTCGTACGCTGGTAGGAAATCAATTTCCAAATATTTAGATTGGTGCTAACCAGACACAGGAGATGTAGACATCACTGTTGGACCAATGTTTGCGTCAATCAATGGAATTGACTTTATCAACGGAACTTTGAATCTACTAGGTGCCTCTCAACTACTTCCTGGCTTCTTTGTTCCGACTGTGAAGATACAACAATCCCCTCGCACTTCAATAATTCCTTTTAACCAGACAGGTCTTATCGGCTACTCATTCAATCTGCTCTCTGCCATGGCGGAATTCCATCTTATGACTGGCGATGTGGATTTCGCAAAGCGCTGGGCGCCGACAATAGTCAGAATGTTGGATTGGTCAGATACGCAACTAGATTCATCCGGCTTATTCAATGTATCTACAATTCTCGGCGGAGATTGGGACTATTACGATCCCGCACAATCTGGTGCAGTAGCGAAATTCAATGTTGCGTATGCATTTGCTCTGCAGCAAGTTTTACCCTTGCTCGATGCCGCAAATGTCACCACAAAAACTTATGCAGATCGACTTGCGGCATTAAAATCCGCAATCAATGAAAAATTATGGAATCCCACCTTGAACGCGTATCAACTTTCCGATTCTGTTCAAGACACGCTTGCACAGGACGCAAACGCCTTTGCAATCTTGGCAAATATACCACAGGGCAGCATCACTCCTTCCACGATCCTATCAACCATGTCAAAAGAACTGTTCGTACCTGCAGGTGCCTTAGCATTCTCCAATGGCAGTCTCGCACGTGGCTTCAAGCAGAATATTAGTCCCTATTCGTCAGGATATCATTTGCGCGCTGCATTTGCTGCCAACGATGAGGAGAGCGCCAAACATCTCCTGTTCACCATTTGGGGATCTATGGCCAACGCATCCAATGCCAACTACACCGGCTGCTTCTGGGAGACTCTAACCACAACTGGTGATCCCGGTCTGGGAGCATCTACATCTCTGTGCCATGCTTGGTCTTCCGCTCCAACGAGTGAACTGAGCAGAAATGTCCTTGGAATTCAGACCGTTACACCTGGATTTGCGCAGTGGAAAGTTTTGCCGCAAACTCTCGGGCTCAGTTGGGCCAATGGTACACACCCCACACCACATGGAGATTTAGCAGTATCTTGGGCGGTGGGTGCAGAGGGAAAATTCAGTATGAATGTCACTAGTCCCAACGGAACAAACGGAACTGTGAATATTCCTGTGCTTTCGGGCGGTCAAGCCGCGAACGCAACATGGATACTGAATGGGAAGGTGGTGCATGGCTCGAACTTTTTTGTTAACGGCGGCGAGACATTCACGTTGAGTCAGACCTAGTCGAAAGTAGCGATTGTGTTCAAAAGTCTTCATTGTGATGGAACAGCCGGTTCGGTCGATTCCGTATCACGTAACCATCATCAAGCCTCATCGACCAATCTTAGACAGTGTAGACAATAGTATACTACAGTGAAATTGTGGCGCGTATTAGTATACTGATATTGCAGCTAGTATATATAAAAAGGAGATTATACCATTCTCGTACATATTCATATACCTAAAGAATATTAGCAATATACTGAAATACTAGAATCTAATATAAAATATACATTCCTATCCTAATTAAACTAGAAAAAGGGATTTCTATTTATATTAGATAATAAAATTCTATTCCTTATTTCAAATTGAATAGGAATCTCTTATTTCTAACCTAATTTGGATAGAGAATATATATTTTATATTGGATTCCAATATTTCAGTATATTAATAATAGTATTAAATAACTAAATGATATTGAATACTTTCAGTGATATCGAATTCCATACCACATACATACATATTTCGAAAAAAACTCGATATGCACCACTATCTAACCCGTATACAGATTACGGGAAATACTATTGCCTACACTGCCAATCTACATCCTGTATATTATCATGACTTAGAGCCTCTCTCAATCTCTTCATCTTACTTGTTGCTCTTAATGAATATCAATTAAATCATCTCATATTATTGTAATGTTTAGAAGGCAGTTAAAAGATATGGTTCATGTGGTGCTAGAGCAGAGGGAGCTAGTCCCAATCTGTGCTAAGTAGGCCTTAACACATATAGATATTAGAGCTCATATACTCATAGTTAACTAGTGTACTTAATTCAATCAATCCCAGAATGCCTTCATGTTATAGCCTATGCTTCCGGCCTTACCCTGTAGAGAGTCATACTTGAAACGAGGACGAATTATAGTAATGAATTGTATTATCGCTGTTATTACTATAGACACTAAGATGTATAACTAATCACGATTTTAGCAACCAAGTGAGACGGGCAATCAAATTTGCCTGAGAGATGTTACTATCTCCTGAAGGCTGAAGTATCATGTACATTTCAAGCGCCTATCACCCACTGCATTATACAAATATCGTAACAGAACCAGCATTTATCACTGCACATCCCCTATGAGGAGCTCACAAATGTATCGAGTAGTATGGCTTTCACATCTATCTGGAAACCACAGTGCACGAAAAAAGGGGGAGAGAACTTTCAATTAAGCTACTAGGTATCCTATTTTAGTAAAACTAATCTAGTTTGCCCAACAAAGAGAAAACCACTGTTTTTGATCCATCTATCCATCCATCCATCCATCATAAAACTGTAGCTAATGTCCTCGGTCAGCATACACAACATTCAAAGTACGAAACTTATGAAGGGTATTGCGTGGTATGGTTATCATTGTTATCAAAATTCATTAGCAAATATTAATACTGCATCCGAATATCCCATTCTTTGGACAAGAAAAAGAAAGAAGAAGTTCGCAATTGAAGAACAAATGAAAATTAAGGAAAAGGGAGCAAATTCGGAAAGAAAACGTATCAAGGTAGGAGGCCTGCATGTCAAATCCTGGGTATTGTAGCTGAATGAACGAGCGAGAGCAATGGCGAGTGCATTGGGTCCATGATGCGTCATCTCGAGGATCTTCTGATACTCCAATAGCGTGGGATCATAGATTGAGATGAGAGACACCAATGCCTGCCCAATTGCTTGCTGGAAAGGCTCCAAGGTGAAAATCTGTAGAAGTAGAAGTAGCGAACAGTCCGTATTTGCACGTCAAAGAATGTTCATAAAGCGTGTTTCTTGTAGCAAGATCGTAAGGCAAAATTATCGCAAGCATTTCTAAAGAGCGACGGGTGCATAGAAGTCGGTCTGCGAAGTAAAAGCAAAAAAGCAATTCCTGAACACGCAAATGTTGTGGTTTCTTGTGTGTCGTAATGAAGAAGTAGCTGTTGATCGAGATATTGATCGACAAGGCTGGGCACATATATCTTCAAAAGCGAGAGGCACAGCTCGTGATAGCGAAATTGGATGGTAGTGACAGAGCATAATGAGCAACCAAGATATGCATGAGCCAGGAACCCCACTAAAAGTTGACTCGAGGAGTTCTAGGAGCACTGATAGGAATGAGACTTTCAATGAACTCGTTATTCATACCAGAGGCTGCCATGATTCGTTCGCGTAAGAAATAATATTCTCCAATCTTGATCTCAATCTCGGCTTTGGTAGCACCCCAGACCATGACTTGATTTTGAAGATGAAGAGTGAGGTTATGAGTGTCTTGGTAGATATCGTTGATCAAACGCATATAGGTACGATCTTCGCGACTGAGTCCGAGATATGGATCAGCGGTCGTCTTGGGAGCAGAATCATTGTTACTGATCATGGTGCGTTCAATGCGTCTAAATGGTGTCTCCAAACAAATGGAATCCACCAATCTGCGGGTTTCTTCATTGGCAAAAGAAGGATTGTTATCCAGGAATCGCTTGATGAAGTGGTGCTCCCTCATACAGCCTGCCAGACCGCTGAAAGCAACCATCTTCTCTGCTTTAAGCTCGTCTCTGTTTCTTGCCATCACTTGACTATGTTGGAAGTGTGCTTCTCCCCTTAATGTCATATCAGCCAAGCCTCGTTCGCGTTGCTCATCAGTCAGACCAGGAATGTCCCAGGTGATAGCTTTGGCAGCTGCTTTCTGTCCACTTGTCAGTTGCTAGAAGGTACAGAAAGATGAAGACATATCAAACTCACTGTATTGAACACAGGAAGTGTTGTTGTGTCAGACCATCCACCGTCATCTTTGAAAGCATTGGGGCTGCCATATGCCTCAGCAAGAATTTTCATGTCAGTTTGGGGGTCCATGCGATTGAAGTGTTCGGGTCTTTGAAGGATGTCAACACCTGCGAACCATCGTGTTAGTCAGATTTTGCCAATGATCACAAGAATGTGCAAATACTGACCAGCTGCCGAGATGAGAAGGCTGGCCGTATCAGAATTATCACCACCAAAACCGGAGTAATAACTGCCAGTATCTCTGTCAATTTGCGGTGGCAACATATCAATTCCGTGTTGTGTTTTAGGTTTACGTGGCACGCGTGGTCTATCTGTAAATTTTTCCTGATTCGGAAAATATCAGTTACTGTCATTTATATTGTTAAGAGATTCTTACTTGTGGAGCGACAATTGCTCTAGCCCATGTATCACCTTTGCCCTCACTGGCTGTGCCACGAACCATCTTTGCAAACTCTTCTGGCGACATACGATTATCTCGAGGATCTCCTTCATCGTCGGAAACATATTCGTTGAAGAAGTCATAAAATTTATCAGCCTCAGCTGGACTCACGATTCGCGCATCTTTGGCTCTAGCACCTTGGAGTTCCTCTGGTGATTGAACTGGATAGCCCTTAAATGCATGCGCCAAGTCCTTCTCGCTATCAGGATCTACCCACACTCCGTTGACTTTGATATAACCAAAATTTCCCCAGACCTCTTTGCCCTTGTAGTGGTTGGTGGTTTCTCCTTCGTCGCCTTTCAAATCAAAAACGATCTCGCATCTTCGAGGATCTTTAATTGCCAGTCGATTGATGTCTTGCGCAAGATCTTCGGGAGCTGCAGCGTTCTTGAAATCGGAATCTGGTCGAATCCTATAATACTTGTAGCCAGATTGTAGATTACTAGAAGATAAACGTCAGGATTGTTAACAAATGATCGGGAAAATGACTTACTCCTCAACATTTGCAGTAGGTCTATAATCTTCAAAATCTCCAGGGGTATCTCGTGGGGGAGGAAATACAGGCCGTGTACCGACACCCTTTCCGCGCATCATATTGTATGCGAATTCTTGACTTGGCTGCATTTTGAAGATTTTCTCCTGTGCGACCAGTTCAAGAAAATCTAAATAGTAGATTAAGTACAAGGAATTTCGAGTCGATGTGAATTGAAACGTACCTTTATGCTCTTCTTCAACTTTGATTCGAATATCAGACAATCCTGATTTTGTCAGCAAAGAGATGATTAAATTGTTGGTATTATCCTTTATAGTAAGTTCAAAACATACCAGCAGCCAAATCAATCTTTAGCTTGCCGAGACATCTGCCATCCGAATTGTTTGCTGTTGATGGGACAAATATTAGGAATTTTTGTGAGGCATAGTCTGCATACAGAGTTCACTCACAAGCCAGCAAACTTTCTTGGTTCTCATGGATTTGAGTTACTGGGTTGTGCAAAAGGTTTGCTATTATTGTACAGTGTTAGTATTTCTATAAGAGCATGTACATAAAGAGCTTACACTTTGAGCCACTCCATTTGTATCTGGTATCTTTAGCTGATTGATTCATCTTGTTAAAGATTTTGCGAATAATAAGACAGAAAGAACATGGATATCTCAAGTGAGAACCAAACCATTGTTGCCAATATATAATTGTCAATATTTTCGCTTCGAGCAAGTGGCCCGATACCTAATTAGGAACTACATTAACACTGAACCACAATTGGTGAGCAAAAGGTGAATGATTTTTGACATTTTGAAGCAAGTGGCTTGATGTTATAATAATTCCCGAGGTCTAACCTGAAAGTATTGATTCCTTTTTGAGGCTCTTCAGGTCTTACCCTGCAACTGAAAAGGCATTTGGAGGTAGTGAGTGCAAACCCTCATATGCTTTATCTTACTATGCATGCCATGTGGTATTGAAAAGCAAACGTAATGTTTTATCTCAATTACAACATTGTGTATGAAGTTCCAGGAAATGACAACAATACTGGCATGGGGAAAGGCGCAAAAGCAATTCATAATCTAGAGTGAGGATGATTATGACAGGCCAAAATGCATCTCAACTAGGTGCATTATCTACACATAGCATCAGCTTGATTACTGTAACTTTTATGGAGTGTGGACACTGAGAATTTGACGCACACAACATTCAAGTGTTTAATGATCACCATCTCCGATAAATATCACAAACTGGATTAAAAGTCCGGCTATGGTTTGAGTATTGACTAATAGCGTTTTCCGAAGAAAACCAAGGGATTTGGGTCAGCCTGTTGCCATGAGCTAATTCCAAGCTTCCCCGATACCAGATCTACTGGTAGGGCTAGGCATCGATAGCTTTGTGAGGTGACCTCACAGTCCCATAGAGTTAAAATAACCACTTGGTGCTCTTAGCTGCAAACGCAATATATGTTGATGGAACATATAGGACTACCTAAGTAGGTGCATGAAGTATGGGAAAGGAGAAATCGCCACAGAGCATCGATTCACTTCTGCTGAGGCATAAGCTTTGTGAGTCTCCCATGATTTCCTGATCAAGAGCAGGCGTGAGAGGAACGAAAAGAGCAGAAGATTGAGCAGCAGCTTATAGGAACATTTCAATCAAAAGGATATGTAATTCACAAGTACGGCCCAGATATGCTGGAGCAGAGTTTCGGTGAAGTAGATACCACTCCTTCATCTGCTATAGTCCTTCCCGGGTCACCAAAGTGTCTGAATAATTCAATAACAATCTAGCTTGCACGAACATCATCATCTTTTTGCTCGTTTGAAAGCTACCTTTCTCTCCACTAACTACATCATTGTCGTGTGAGTTTTGAAGAATTCGCTGTCAAAACTGTCATCGAACATTGCCGTTGCACAAAGGGATGTCGTCTGATTACGGTCAACATTAAAGCGCTATTGTGACAATACAAGCTTAGTAATTTCAGCGCTTTACCCACCATAGTGTAGCGCATAGTCCTGGCACACCCTGTCGACATCACCCCACCCACCTCTTCCTTTCCAAATCATTATCAATCCGGAAACTTTCAAGGAACGTGATATACAATCATAAGTAACACCTTTCACAACTGCTACCATATTCAGATAAATTCAGTCCATATCATTGTTCCATTAATCTACGCAACTTGCCCACCATGGACTCCCCGTTTAGTATTTCCGCCAATACTCCCTCCCGCTCCACATCTTCCTCCAGGCCGAATAGCGCAAATAAGAACACTCGCGCTTCTAATTCGAAATCCAAATCCTCTACTTACACACTTCTAAAACAAGATCAGCAAGCTAGAAATAAAGAACCCGACGATGACAACTATGATGATGAATCTTCGGATGAGGATTTGACAGGAGCAAGTTATGATTTGTATGTGGATTTCATATTCTTACTGTCTTAGGGAGCATTTGCTGGTTGTGCTCGTTCGGGAGAGAAGAGAGCTTGGGTGCAGGAGACACGGATACCACATGAAACGTGAATGATAAGTTGATTAGTCCTAACATGAAATCCGCATTTCAGATTCGGGAACGAATCGTATATCAGTGTACAGATACGAAGAGAAGCCGTAGCCGTACTCGATAACCCAGAATTATTAATGATGCACGCAGCTGCTCGCAATGATGTACGTACTCATCCCCAGTCGCTACCATCTCTCTAATTCTTAACCCATCTAGTCCATCCCCTCCACACGTCTGTACTTTCTTCAGCGCTTGTCTGGTCGACCAGAAACCCCAGCCCAAGAAAAGGAAGCTGCGGAATATCGCCTGGCTCAACTTAAGAAACTAGCCAAAAAGCGTGATCTGGCTGATGCTCAAACAAGTTCAGGCTCAACTTCGAAGGGTGAGGCTACTGCGAGTGTAATTTTTGACTAGAGATATTTGCACCATATCAGTTGAAGCTACTCTCAGTATATAAAACTGACATTATATTTTTCAGGGCCAAAAAATTGAATGGTATACATGGAAATCTCCATTGGCACTTCGCTTGTAATATAGTAAATCTCGATATCAACGCGAACCAGTATCTTGTCTTCCGGGATGGGCTTCTCGCACGTCAGCTGGGGCGTGATGGTAGCTAGGAAATGTAGCTGGGAAAACGGTTGGATAGATCACAAGATCGCGGAGTATCTGTTATGAATGGTCTTCTCTTTCTCGGCATTTGGTCGCAAATTCAGAGGCAACATTGGCTCGCAGGAGTGATACCGGAATAGGTATAAGGGAAATGTTTACTCGATGGAACGACTAATAGTGCAACATCAATTAGGGAATACCTTATAGACACCACTAGTATGAATGCCAGAGGTTTCACATGAAATACTACATTCTGTATGATTAATAACGCTATGAACAACGCTTTCTCCTCCCGACAAGTGTCAGAAGCCTTCAAACATTCAAATCTGACCAGGGGTCTTTTATCAGACTTCCCTATCTCCGGGAGAATTTCCACATGTCAATCGAAGAGATGATAGTATTCCCTCGCTGAATGCCAAAAACAAACTTCTCCATCCGTATAATCATTATTTCTTGTCGCTCCTCTCACATTGAACCCATTCTTCCATTCTTCTCCCTACCTGTCTCCACCCAGCCATCCTACCGTTCCAGGTTCTTCTCTACCTCAGATAAATGAACCATCCACTACAATCCAAACCCCTAAACCGCATTCATCTCGTCCACACCCAAATATCCATAGCAAAGACTCCACAAAGCACCAATACCCCCACCCAAACTCTTTCCGAGAAGAATTCAACTCCCACCAAATTCCCATTCACCTCCGCTAATCTTCACTCTCACTCTCACATCACAACTCCCAAGACCCTTAACAGCCCTAGAGCGTCCCAAAGTATCAAATACCAACCAACTCAGCCACTGATTCTTCTAATCGAGGAGACTCGAATCTCGTGATCCTCATTACCTCGTTTCATTCATTTGAACTGTCTCCGTGGTACACGACCGGTACTTCATTTCGTTCACTGATGAGATGCCCAAAGACTCTGATATCTAGATTCCCTGCTTCCCTGCTTTCCTGCAGCCAGGCTTGTTGGCGAGGTTTCTGGCTCTCCTTTCACTGTGGATTTTATTGGATTTCTTGTCTTTAGGAGGGCTGTATGAGGAATGCACAGTTGAAGTTCTGTACTGATTGAGGATGCGGAGGATATTCCCATCTATATGATTCTGGTACAACGTGCGCAGATCATTCAATATGATTTAAACCATTCAATAACCCTAACAGAAATCTTACTGCAACTTCGATCTCTGCCCCCTCTTCAATTCTACATTTCTTCAATAAAAACATGCAAAACAGATTGATTCCTACGTCTAAATAGACCGAAAGCAGAACGGGAGGAAAAGTTTGACGTCATTCATTAAGTATGCAAGTGTGCATTAAATCTAGAATCTATTCTATGAGGAGCCATGCGTCTATTGTATCCAACCCGATCTATAAAGCAGTCTATGTGTACGCGTATCGCTCTCCACCAACGCCGAGAAGGTTGTCCGTGAGTGTCTATGTCTAGGTGATTATATGTACTGAGGAAGGTATGTAGGTTCGGTGGATGTGTATAAAGGCGCCGAAGAAAGAATAGAAGTTTGTCTATCTAGGGATTTCGTGATGTGAGATTGTGAGGATTAGGTTGATTCTTCAGCCATTTTTTCAAGGGTGGGTTAGTGAGACAGGCCCATATTCAAGAGCTTGAGAAGAGTTCCTTAGTTACCGCTGCTGTACAAGTCAACGTCCAACATTGGACTAGGCAGGTTTGTGGTTATTCTTCCAGGAAGAACCTCCTGGGAAAGGTTCATTTAGACAATCGCGGCTTCGGGCTCTGCGATTCCTTTTAGAGATCGATATATCTTCTTGTGTTGTTCAAGGAAGAGAAACGTTGCGATGGTTTGTGGTCCTACAATTTCTTGATTAGCGCCCACACCTCTTTCCTGTTACTGTTGTCTTTTTCCTTCTTTGAAATAAAGTTTGGGCAGGGAGTAGAAACTATAACTCACCCAGACGAATAAAACTCGGCACCCAACCCCTAAACATCCATCCAACACCTTCTACCTTATATACATCCGTCAAGAGTCTCGCTAATCCCTTACTTTCATGACTACTCATAATTCTTGTCTTGATAACATCTACTGGGCTGCAAACCGTGGTAGCCACGAAACCCGCCATCAGCGAAGCAGTAAAATGTGTCGAGAGTCCGTCTTCCATTGGTGTATGCCGAATGAGTAGCTGTTTGAAGCTGTCGTAAGAGGCCAATTGCGAAGCAGTCATTAAGACAGCTCGCATACTGTTCGGCCACACTCCGCGGTACAGACTTTTCCACCCTTCTTCTTTCGTCATGCGTATTAATCCATCCACAGCATTTTTATAGTTTCTTCTCTGCTCGACTGGTAATGCAGCATCGTGCTGCATGCGCACATTCAAAACATCGGCTGGGTTTCCTACGATTCCACCAATGAAACCTGAAGTGGAGGCCATGGCGATAAGAATTGGGAAGGAGGGAGGTTTGTTTCCTGATGTGAGATTTGTCTTGAGCTTTTCGTAGATGCCAAATCGAGTAGTACTATATGTTATTTGGCGCAGAAGGGAAGCGCTAAGTCCCGAATAAAGTCCAACAACACCATTGTGCTTTAAGACATGCACGAATGTGCCAACCATAGTATTGGGCGCATTGCCGGATCGAGTCTGTAATCGGACCTAGTAATGGCAGTATGTTTAGTATTGGCAAAGGGAGAAGAATTGGCTTTTGCGCATCCATGCGATAGGAGTGATACCTTAACTATATCATAATTAGCACATGTTCGCACAAACAGTGCGACTTCCCATGCCGAGAAAAGACTTCACATACCAAGATCCAATGGATGAGTAACACAAGCCGCAAAACAACTTGCACTACCTCCAAACCAAAACGGGTACTTTACAGCAGTTACTTTAACCTCCGCTTTCACTACCTCTCCCACACTATGCTTTCCGCTCGACATTGTTCCACTGGTTCCGAATCTTTCTTCTCGAGGTTCATTCCGATTCCGCAAAGGAAAGCACAGGAATTGAAGAATGAGAGATTAGATTGAACGAAATATATGCAATTGGCTCAGCAATCAGCGGAAGAAAGAGGCCGTAAGGAAAAGTGGATAGATAAAAAATGGTAAACAGAAAGAAAAATGGGGAAGATTAGGGCTGATTGTTAATGTTGGGTGTAATAAGTCAGAATAGGGAGAAGAAAAAAACGTTTTTGGCTTGTGAATATAGCTTGGTACTTGATGCAATTGGTGATCTTCACCCGTCACTGTTGATAATAATTGTAGATATATTTCGTGTTTTTGTATTTCTGTATTTCTGTATGTCTGTATGTCTGTATTTGTGTAATTTTATATGTACAAATCGATATGCAGGAGATAAGAGAGAGAGAGGGGGGCATCCGAAGATTTGTATCCTATCTGATCCATGGATACTGAAGTTCCAAGATTTTCTAGATGAAGAAGGTCGTGTGCATGGACTTTTCTCAATCAGCCCTTTCGTCATATCTTCGGGTCGGGACAGGCGGCCGCCTCTTGGTAGGTTCGTCAGGGATATTCCGGAAGTTCAGCATTTCACAGCTCTTTTCCCATGAGGAAAAATTATTGAATTTGAAGCTCAGAACCATGAGACTTCTTACAGCAAATAAGGCCTCATTCTCGAGGGGCAATGAGGTATTGAACGCCTTCATTGGGCTGAGGAATAATGCTACAAGGAATGTGAGAGTCTGTGGACAATGTCGATATAATTCTTCAGTGGCAGGTGTGTTAACACACAACCCCTCAATTTACGAAGCGCCACTAATACATTTCAAATAGACCTCTCGTCTAAGGCTACGAATGCTTCGGATCCCATTTCCTCCAAAGAATATAAGAAAGATGAGTGGTACAATGTGCCACAATCGATTACTGATTCCCTCTCTCGAAGTCTACATACAACCCTAGATCATCCTATTTCCATAACTCGCTCAATAATCGAATCAAGATTCCCCTCACCTACCTACAAGTACCATAACACATTCTTCCCCGTCGTATCTACGCATCAAAATTTTGATTCTTTAGGGTTCCCATCCGATCATCCTGGGCGAAGTAAGACGGATACATACTATATCAATAAAGAAACGGTATTACGAACCCATACAAGTGCGCACCAAGCAGATGTGTTTCGCAGCAACCAGAGTGAAGGTTTCCTTATTAGTGCAGACGTATACCGCAGAGATGCAATCGATCGAAGCCATTATCCTATTTTCCACCAAATGGAAGGGGCAAGGATGTGGGACAGAACCAAGGTTCCCAATGGGGACATAGCAGCTGCTGTATGGAAAGATATCGATGCTCTCCCTAAGCATGATATGAAAGTCGAAGATCCAAATCCACCTTTTCACGCGGAGAGAAATCCATTACAAGGAGAGCATACCGAAGCGGAAGCTGAAGCTATTGCGGCACATCTCAAGAAGAGCTTGGAGTTGATGGTGGTAGAGATATTCTCTCGCGCAAAGCAAGCAGCCGTAAAAGCAGATCCCAATTTCATCGATGAGCCGCTAAAAGTAAGGTGGATAGAAGCTTATTTCCCATTCACAAGTCCATCCTGGGAGCTAGAAATATTTTGGCAAGGGGATTGGTTAGAAGTACTTGGATGTGGTGTTGTTAAACAGGATATCATGCAGAATGCAGGTGTGCCAGATCAATTAGGATGGGCGTTCGGTATAGGTTTGGAAAGAATCGCCATGTTACTTTTTGAAATCCCAGACATCAGACTGTTTTGGTCCAAAGATGAGAGATTCCTAAGTCAGTTCAAAGGAGTTTCGGAGAACCTAGAGAATTTGAGGAGATATATTCCATTCTCGAAACATCCTGCATGCTACAAAGATGTTTCCTTTTGGTTACGCTCATCCTCTTCGGCAGGAGGTGGTACTGCGGCCAATGCGCGTGATTTCCATGAGAATGATTTCATGGAGATAGTCAGGGATATAGGAGGAGACAGAGTGGAGGATGTCAAAAAGGTAGATGAATTTACACATCCGAAAACTGGCCGTAAGAGCATGTGCTATAGGATTAATTATAGGAGTTTGTTGAGAACTCTAACGAACGAAGAGACGAATAAAATGCATGAAGAGGTCAAAAAGGAACTGGCTGGGAAACTAGGGGTAGAGTTAAGATGACCGATGATAGAGAAGGAAGTCTAAAATATGTATAGCTGTTTCTTGTATAATAAGTCTATTACGATACCCAAAAGAAGCCTCCTCAATTTGCATTTAGCACATAGACTCGAGCAATCGATGAAGTTCGTGCTTCAATCTTTATATACCTGAAGTTTGTTCGTTGGGATACCATTCTCCCATTGTACACACTCCAGGAGCTTTGGTATGGTACCTTGCCTTTTCCGGTAAGTTCAAAATTTGGGGCTCATCAGGAATAGCTCTGATCAACTAAAGCGCACCGGGACCCTCCAAAAATACCTAAGCCAGATCGCAGATGGTACTCACCGGGCGTAATTTATACTTTTCGTGAATGCCATAGCTCTGATACCCAAGCTTCAACCCCCGCATACGTCATTATTATTGATCTGCATCAATTAATCGACTAGCTACTCGTAGCAAACAAGCAAATAAGTAACACAACATTTATATATTTCATTCGAATCAATTCAGTTTATTTTAAGAGAAAGAGTCAAGAATATACTCATCCACACGAAGAATAAGAACTCCTTAAACAGAGAATAACAAGCAAGCAAACAAACAAACAAACAATTAAAATGACGGAAGCTACGCATACAAAATTGATGGATACGGAGAGGGGAGGGGAGAACACACAGTAAGTTGCTTCCCATATCTTGATCCTGAAACAGAATTGAGCTATTGAGAGATGCTATGGACTGATGATATACTGATGCAATGGGTTTAGATATGAATCCCAAAATGTATTTACGCAGTCGCCTGCTAAAGACCAGGGGACCTTTGGAGGTAATTTTTTCTTTTTCATCTTTCCTCTTTTCGAAGCTATCTATGATATTCTCAATTCACTCCTTTTCATTCTTGTCCTTCCACCCACCTTCCGAATCTCAAACAGTATCTGACCCTGCGGAATAGACTCGACAGGACCCTCCGAAGCCACTCTTCAAAAAGCCGCAGAACACAAAGCGCGTGGCGAGCGAACGGCGGAGAATATCAGGTATGGAGAGGCGATTAGTGAGCATGGGTTTGGAGGGGAGACGGTAGGGAATAGTATGGGGGTTGGGGGCGGAGAGAATAAGGAGGAGACGGAGGATACGAGGAGAAAGATGGGTTATGGAGGGGGGAACGAGATTGGTGGTTGATAGAGAGGGAATGGTGTGAAAGGGAAATAGTATTTACTAGAATTATGGGGATTTCGTTCAAGTTCTATGGTGTTTGGTTGAAATCAGATGAGAATAGATATCAATGATTTATTTTATATGTACTTGTATGATGTACCAATCATCGAATCGACCAGTTACTCACCACCAAATGACAGCGATTAGGCATCCTCTCCGAGTCTCCATTAGCGGACGTCTAACTCCGTTTCCTACAGCAGAATAGTGTCTGGATAGTGGCGAAAAAGCGAGAATGCGATCCCATAGCTAGATGGCAATTACGATAGAACAATGGCGAACAAAGCTCTCGCTCAAGCCGAAGGATGCGCAGACATACCTAGTAGTTTAGTATATGGACATGGACGAATTTCCTAGTTATCCACGTGGTATGGTGCTAGGATAGACGAGGAACTGAGGGGTCAGGCCCCCATGTTGTGTAACTGGTGAAGGAAGGTATACGGTCAGAGGGGTGCTTACCCGCCCAGTGTAAGAAAAGTGACTGAAATCGATTCAATATCCAGAAAGCCTTCGATGTGTTGTGGAAACTCTTGGGTTTCTTGGGGTAACGTAAGATTGTCTTAGCAAATGGTTTTTAGTCTCCGTGGAACTAGTCGATCCGTTGATCACGGCGTAGTTGCCGTCGTGATTGCGGCATTGGTGAAATAGCATGCAAGCTATTTCAATTGTAGGGTACTATAAGTATAACCTTAATGAATCGTAGGATAGTAGAGTAGTATTAGAAAAGACCATATTTGATAACGCAAGTTGGTTCTGAATAGAGAAGCTGTCGCGTATCACAGCAAGGGATCATATATCGAGGTTCCTAATGGGATACTCGAGCCGTTGGTTCTGGAACAGGCTTCTTGGTAAGATTGGTTAAACTGGGTACCAAGAGTTTGGTAATTCGTGATACAGCATATGTTCGAATGCTACAGTGGACGGTACTATGCAGAAAGCGTATAATAGTACAGTAAGTGCATGTAGGTCGGTGATGTTATATCCTTGGATTCGAATCAGAATGCTGACCTTCTACCCCCCTGTCGGAACATATGTCTTGGCATTGCGTGGTTGAAGTCGATAGAGGGAGACGGTTTGTATATGATATGTGATTTCTGATGTAGGAGCAGTTGCCAGCCATTTTGATGAGCAGACTTCAGTTGGTCCGAAGTGCCTTTTTTGACTACCTAGGTAATAGACTGGATAACTTCGGTTGTGAGAACTCATAGAACATACAAACTGTGCTACTCAACCGAAGCCGACGCCGGCATCGCAACTCAGAGAGTTCAGACCACCCCTTAAGATTTGGAGGGACCGAGGGGAATATCTTTCTCAATATTGTTCCACTTTTTCAACCCCACTACAAAGCTCGAGAGGTTCCAGTCGGAGACCGATGAGATTCTCTTCTTTACTAAGCTGGTGATAAGTGGACATTCCTTTCCGTTGGGAATTGCGGCAACACGGATATCGTTTTCAATTCAATCTAATTGGATACGGAGACGTGAGACCGACGTATAATAGACCTGAGTAAGAAGGATTATGTGGGGATTGATGTTCGATATTCGATGTTCGACGGCACCAGGAACAATGAAGTATATCTGACATGCTAGAACGAAGATGAGTCTCGTCGAGGTAGAGATAGCGAAGGATTTCAAAGAAGAGGAAACATTGTATTAGGAGCACTCTAGATGCATCAATTCCTTCTCGTCTACAACCCCGAGCGATGGAAATAGACCTTGAGCAGCCATAATTGTCACAAGATCTGCAATTATTTGAATTCTTTCCCTACAGCAAATGCAAAGCTTATGCACTTAACCCCACACACATCCCTAGCAAAGGGGAGGAAATCCCGAAAAATGTTAGTTGAATTAGTTCGAAATTGGTATTTGGAGCCGCCGGAGTGTATTCGCTTCGCACACAGCAGGCTAGCGACTCGGTGGAAAGGAGTTGCAACTTGTTAAGAAACAATATGGATTAAGTATATCGTAATAAGCAGTAATAAAGAGCATGAAGAAACCAATCAGAAAGAAGGGAAACGGGAAAAGCATACTAGGACATAGATTCATTAACCGGGGTAAATCAACACAAACTACCTTGGGTGTTGCATGTTGTAGCGACACAAAGTCCATTGCCCCGAATTCTACTACAGCTAAAGACCCAGCTGATTCCTTTCCCATTATCTTACATTTTCATTCCCATTCCCTTCTTTATACTTCTTCTTCATGATTGTAATCGCACTTGATTGAATCTTCTTCTTATTCACTCTCCTCAAGCATTATACATTACGCATTCCGACTGTTCACGTATTTGAATTTCGTCACCGATTATTGGCGCACAAAGAAAGGAGAGACATTATACTTCCACGACCCCGCATTGCGGTGAGACTAAGTAAATACCAAGCTCGTAAATACCAAGCTCGCGGCGTAGACCTTCACTCCATCTTTCACATCTCAATCAATTCACAATACCACAATTCCGGAAATATAGCAATGTCTGAAGGAAAGGTAAAGCCATCTACTCCAGTAGTAGCAGAAGCTCATGATGTCGACACCTTCCGTGAGTCAAAAATCTAAGCTATCCGTGCCGAATATGCAGTTACTGACCCATCATCCTACAGATCCCCCGCAAAAGATGTTTGACAGTAAGCCCTCAATCCTCAGACCCACGAGAGGTCGCATGCCGGTTAATTATTGCGGAATACTAACAGTTTTTATGTAGAGCATCCAAGCAAACCCCATTTAAGCGGTAAGATTCATAATTCCCTCTCTTTTGGCAGAAATCATGGAAACTGATAGCAACAGGACTCGACGAATACAAGAAACTCTACAATGAATCGATTAAAGAGCCCAATAAGTTCTGGGGCAGAATGGCCCGTGAACTTCTTACCTGGCACAAGGATTTCGAGACTGTACACAGCGGATCGTTCGTTGGCGGTGATAATGCTTGGTTCTTGGAGGGTCAACTAAATGCTTCATATAATTGTGTTGATCGTCATGCGATCAAGAACCCAGATAAGCCAGCTATCATCTACGAAGCCGATGAGGCTAGCGATGGTCGCACCCTTACATATGCTGAGCTTCTGCGAGAAGTTTGCAAAACCGCGTATGTTCTCAAACAAATGGGCGTCAAGAAGGGAGATACTGTTGCGATTTATTTGCCTATGATTCCAGAAGCTGTTATTGCTTTCCTGGCTTGTTCACGTATCGGTGCAGTTCACTCTGTAGTCTTTGCTGGTTTCTCATCCGATTCTCTCAGGGATAGAGTTATTGATGCTCAATCGAAAGTTGTCATTACTTCCGATGAAGGCAAGCGTGGTGGAAAACTCATTGGCACAAAGAAGATTGTGGATGATGCCCTGAAACAATGTCCTGATGTCACACACTGCTTGGTTTACAGACGTACCGGTGCGGATGTTCCAATGACCAAAGGACGTGATTGGTGGTGGCACGAGGAGGTCGAGAAATGGCCATCTTACATTGCTCCAGAGCCAATGAACTCTGAGGATCCATTGTTCTTGCTTTACACTTCTGGATCAACTGGAAAACCAAAGGGTGTTATGCACTCAACAGCCGGATATCTTTTAGGCGCGGCAGCTACTGGAAAGTATGTTTTCGATATTCACGACTCAGATAAATTCTTCTGTGGTGGTGATGTCGGATGGATTACTGGTCACACATACGTAGTTTACGCCCCTCTTCTTCTTGGCGTTGCAACTGTTGTGTTTGAAGGAACTCCAGCATACCCAAATTTCTCCAGATATTGGGATGTCATTGAAAAACACGAGGTCACACAATTCTATGTTGCGCCTACAGCACTCAGATTATTGAAGCGTGCCGGTGATCAACATGTCAAAGCACAGATGAAGCACTTGAGAGTATTGGGATCAGTTGGTGAACCAATTGCTGCTGAGGTCTGGAAATGGTATTTCGAGATTGTTGGAAAGGAAGAAGCTCACGTTGTTGACGTAAGACCATCTTGATCTGGTCATTGAAATTAATACTGACATTAGTGTAGACCTACTGGCAAACTGAGACCGGTTCCCATGTTATTACTCCTCTCGCAGGTGTCACTCCTACTAAGCCTGGTAGTGCATCGCTTCCATTTTTTGGTATTGAGCCTGCGATTATCGACCCTGTCTCCGGAGAAGAAATTCACGGAAATGATGTCGAGGGTGTATTGGCTTTCAAGCAACCATGGCCCAGTATGGCTCGTACCGTTTGGGGTGCACACAAGAGATATATGGACACCTATTTGAACGTCTACAAGGGATACTACGCAGGTTTCACTCTCCAATTTTTCTTTGCAGCATACTGACATGATACAGTTCACTGGTGATGGAGCAGGACGTGATCATGAAGGTTATTACTGGATTCGAGGCCGTGTTGACGATGTTGTCAATGTCAGCGGTCACCGTCTCTCTACTGCCGAAATCGAAGCTGCTTTGATTGAACACCATGCCGTTGCTGAAGCTGCCGTCGTTGGTATCAACGATGAGCTCACAGGACAAGCAGTCAACGCTTTCGTCGCTATCAAGGACGGTCATGAGGTCGACGATCAGTTGAAGAAGGATCTCATTTTACAAGTCCGAAAGAGTATCGGTCCATTCGCAGCTCCAAAGGCAGTATTTGTTGTTCCAGATTTACCAAAGACTAGAAGTGGTAAGATTATGCGTAGAATTTTGAGAAAGATTCTAGCGGGCGAAGAGGATCAATTGGGTGATATTTCCACGGTATGTTTGACACTTTCCCCTTGGATGAAAAGTACTAGTGCTAACATCGATATGTAGCTCTCCGATCCAAGTGTAGTCGAGAAAATCATCGATACAGTTCACAGCGCAAGAAAGAAGTAGAGTAATGAAAAGAGGTACATTGGATATTCTAATGATGGGAGAGAGGAGTTTTACATTGTTTATTGCTTTTAATGCATGCAGATTATGTCATGCTAGTTTATTTTTTCCTTATAGTCATTGGACTCGACTTGAAGAAGTCTGTTAGCAATATTGGAGGACTCGTGATGAACTTCGGTTTCGGTTGGTCTTGAGGGAATATCAGGGGGTTAGGTTGCTTTTATTTGATTGGTATTTAGCTGAGTATGATGAATCAAGAATCTTTTATATGATAGTTCCATTAATACTCTTCTATGCTTTGCTTACTCGAAGTGCTTATATCTATATCTATATAATCTATAACATGCATGACATGAAACCCGAATCGGCTTTTGAGATTCGAGGTTCGAGATTGGAGATTGGCGATTAGGTGAGATGGATTGGTAAGAGATGATCAACTGCGCCCGGAACACATATGCCGAAACGGAAGGGGACTTGGCATGGTGAACTTGGCGTGTCCACTCTGAGGGGCTTGGCTGGCGATGATTTGATGGGTTGGGATGTGTACCTCCTATCTCCTTTGTTAAGGTGTTGCACAGCCTCTTTGGAGAAGCTGAAGATAGATGATGAATGTGTTGAGGATGGATTGTGGATGTGAATGTGGATGTGGATATGGATGTGGATGAGAGATGGGAGGGCTGGTGTCTTGGTATGATGGTATGAAGATTGGTGGGGAATCAGGGGGGAGAGTTTGCAATGGGTATGTACCGTTTGAGAGCGCGATGGCGCGATGGCGCGATGGGTATCTTATCTTGGGATCGTTGGGCTGGGGTGTGAGGGTATGATGGACTCGTCATTCATTGCGGTTGTTTTGGGTGGGATGCGAGAGGTGAGTTGAGAATTGGGTGTGCTACGGGATCGTCGGAATCGTCGGAATCGGGATAGGCTCGGAGGGGAGGGGATATGGGTATCGTGGATAGTGTAGAGTGTAGTGTAGTGTAGCATGGCATGGCATGGCATAGCATAGCCTCACACTGGTGGTGGTGGTGGTTTATGTGGCGGAGGGGATTGCGTGGATGTGGATGGGTGAAGGGAGTGAGGTTTGGGTGGTGTGATATAGGTGAGTAGGGGATGGGAATGGGAGATGGGAGATGGGAGATGAGAGATGGGGAATGGTAGTTTAGATGGGTGGATAGTTTGATGATTTGATGATGTTGTGTTTGGCGGAGATGGGAGCTACCTAGGTAATCTGTTCGGCCGGTATGTATGTATATGTCGATTTGAAAGCTATGTCTTGTGTTCAATGTTCAACTCGTTGTCAGCAATCCCCAGCAAATCTACAGCAAATCTATATCTATTGTAGCAAATACATTCCCAGTTCATTAGAGAGTGACACGTGATTATGATCGTCAGGAATGTCATATTGATACTGATCGTAATGAGTCTAGTTCTATGTAGTTTTGACAGACCGCTGGCGAATCATTATGGATACCTTTGCGGGACTAGGTACAGAGTAGGTAGATAAATGCAGTCTGAGTTGATCCCTTTGAAAATCCCATGTATGGATCTTCATTAGTCCCGGTTTGTTTGTTTGTTTCATGTCATCTCATCTTCTAGTCCTACCTTATGATAATATGCAAGAACTTTACTGGTTGAGAGGAAGACGGAGATGGATGGATTGGGATGACGATGCTGGGGTTATTGGCTGTGACGCGATGTTATAGGTTACCCCAGGTTCGTTTGAATCCTTTTTGAAAGAATCTAGGAGAGAGGAGAGAGGGGAGGGGCAACGAATTACAAGACAATAGAACGGTTTTCTTTGATTCGAGTCAAGGCCAAGGTCAAGGTCAGAAAGAGGTCAGAAGAGGTGCATTACTCCGCCACATGGTTGGTATGTATTGCCACCATCTAGAATCCCCAGAATGCAGATGGAAAAGAATAAAGTTCATCCATCGGTCGAAGATTTCGGGTTTAAAGAAGAAACCTTGTGGAAAGACAAGCTGGCGGGCCAAAAGAAGAAGAAGAAGAAGAAGAAGAAGAAGAAGAAGAAGAAGAAGAAGAAGAAGAAGAAGAAGAAGAAGAAGAAGAAGAAGAAGAAGAAGAAGAAGAAGAAGAAGAAGAAGAAGAAGAAGAAGCAGAAGCAGCAGCAGAAGATAATGGATGAACTGATTGATGGATGATGAATTGATAATAATGATATTAAGCCAAGAGAAATTAGTTCCAAATTTGGCTGCATCCCAAGACATTTGATTTCCTTAATTCATTATTCTTTTCTTCTGCATCGTCTCGTATCCATCGTATTAGTTTGCCGGTCTTCCAGTATCCCAAGTACATATATCGTATGGATATGTAAACAACAGCTCAGCCACGGTTTGATTCCATTCATTGTATTTTCCCCAACGACAGGACGGACAACCACCTGCAGTACCTACAACCAACAATCACTTTCGCTCAAACACTTGCAGAGTCGAATTGGATACCAGAAAGTCGAGTTACGATATCGTTATAAATATAATACACATCATCACATACACAGAACGACAACGATAGAAGGAAGTCTTTGTGTTTGTGTATTTCGAGTATTTGAGGGGACTGAAACGATATTTGAATACCCAGGTAGTCCTTTCGTCTCAATCCATCGACTAATCAATACAATCAACAATAAGAAAGGGAAAGAGGGTATTTGTTACAATTTACAATTTACAATTTACGATCTACAATTTGTTCTCCGAGAAGGATTGTATTAAATACTATCTACCTCTACCTACTACAGTCTGACAGAGTAGATCCGTCCAAACTCCCGTCTACTAGTTCAATTGCGGAAAAGGTTAATACTTTTTCTACTTACGAGTACAAACATTCACATTATTCACATCTACATCCACATCCACATCCACGCAAATCCTACGAAAACCTCATCACATCATCACATCATCACCACCACCACCACCACCACCACCACCACCACCTCGTTCTTTAAAACTATTATACGATCATAATTCGAGTCGCTCTTTTTGGTTTAAATCCTGTTCACAATAAAGAAGAAAGAATATAATACTTGAGACACTTCCGAGACTTTCCACAACTACGAGTTACGCATGAGATAATCAAGGGTACAACATTCTTTTACTTGGTCCTTTGCGATACGAGAGGAGCGGGTGGTGCTCTCATCAGGCTGTGCCCCAGTCCATTGCAACGGAAGATTGTGAGGACAACAGGTCAACAATTGTACACAACTATAGATCATGTACATATTGAGGAGTATTGTCGTACTGACGGCTTTATTTTCAAATTCAATATATGGTATGTCCAATCTCTCACACATAGATATTCAGTTGAGATCTCAAACACAAACAAAAATATGGCAACTTCTCCCGGCGAGCCAACAGCCTTAAAATATGGAGATAATCAAAAGCTAATGGATTAACCTTAAAGCACACTCTAATGAACGGAACCCTTTAACATATATTTCATATGTCGAGACTCCAGTAATTAGAACTCCGTCGCATCGAGTACATGCCTTGTCGAGTTTCGATGTCGAGTTTGGATTGCATGGAGGACAACAACGAGTAAAGCTGTCGCTGCAACCCAATCACGACGTTATTGCGGATGGTGCCACGATCACACATTTAGCTGCCGATGGAAGTGTAAGGACCTCAGAAACTATCGACAGGTCGGCGCATCGGGTATTCAAGGGGTCGACATGGCTACAGCATTACGATGGTGCGGATTGGACAAATGTGGGATGGGCGAGGATAATAGTGAAAAAGGACGGCGATGAACCTCTATTCGAAGGCGCATTTAGATTGGATGGAGATCATCACCATATCCAGACGAAGTCGAGCTTTATGTCTACGAGGCATGCATTGGATCCATCGCTGCCGGAAGAGGGAAAAGAATCCATGGTTGTGTGGAGGGATTCTGATATTGGAACTGGTTATACCGAAGATAATGAAGGACTCATGCACCCGGATTTGAGAAGAAGCGCTCGGGAAGACCCTTCATGTTCGGCGGATGGACTTAACTTCAACACGATGAATAACCCAATCAACAACTACGAGCCGATGGCGAGAAGGGAAGAGGGATTTTGGGGATCAATTTCGACTCGAGCCATATTTGGAAGGCAGCTCGATACACAATCAGGTGGAAACTCCGCAGGAGTTAACCTTGCTACCACTATTGGATCAACAGCCGGATGTCCTTCTACTCGAAGAGTCGCTCTCGTGGGAATAGCTACGGACTGTACATACACAGCCGCTTTCAACTCTACCGAAACGGCTCGAGAAAACGTCATCCAGGTTCTTAACTCTGCCTCGGTACAATATGAGGATAGTTTCAACATTACTCTGGGTTTGCAGAATCTTACCATCAGTGATGCTGCTTGTCCCGCTACTGCATCCTCTTCGGCTCCATGGAATGTGGGATGCAGTGATAGTGTTACGATTCAAGATCGATTGAATTTATTTTCTGCGTGGAGAGGTGAGCGTCAGGATACTAATGCTTATTGGACTTTGCTTAGTACTTGTGGTACCGGAAGTGTAAGTTTTCATTCTATTTTTACTAGACTGTTATTTGATGACGGAATATTTACGGAAAAGATGGATGAGACACACTGATCATTTACTAATCTCCTTTTAGGCTGTCGGTTTAGCTTGGCTTGGTCAAGCCTGTGTCACGGACGCACAGGTAGCCTCAACATCATCTGGTAATGAAACTGTCAGTGGTGCCAATGTCGTGGTTAGAACCAGTACCGAATGGCAAGTTCTTGCCCATGAAACTGGACACACATTCGGAGCTGTCCATGATTGTACATCATCAACTTGTAATGATGGTCAAACAGTCGCAGCACAACAATGTTGTCCCCTCAGTAGCTCAACTTGTGATGCTGGGGGAGCATATATCATGAACCCCAGCACTTCAAGTGGCATCACCCAATTTTCACCTTGTAGTATTGGAAACATTTGTTCGGCTATCGGCAGAAACGGTGTCAAAACCAGTTGTTTGACTGCAAATAGGGATATCACTATAATTACCGCAAGTCAATGTGGTAATGGAATTGTGGAATCAGGCGAAGATTGTGACTGTGGTGGAACTAGTGGGTGTGGGAGCAATAGTTGTTGTGACCCAACTACTTGCAAATTTACGACAAACTCGGTTTGTGATCCTAGCAATGAGGACTGTTGTACATCGACTTGTCAGTTTGCATCCAATGGTACAGTATGCCGCTCAAGTACCGGTGTCTGTGATCCACAAGAAGTTTGCAGTGGAACTGCTGCTACTTGTCCTGAGGATGCTACTGCTCCTGATGGTAAGATCCCGTAATGTTCTCGTTTTCAAATATAATACTAACTTGTAACAGGAACTTCTTGTGGCAATTCTTCCTCTTTGTCCTGTGCTTCAGGTCAATGTACTTCGCGTGATCTTCAATGCAAAACCATTATGGGATCATACACCACAGGTAACGATACATATGCCTGTTCCTCCTCCGGTTGTCAAATCTCCTGTGCTTCGCCTGAATTTGGCTCCAATGTCTGCTACTCCATGCAACAAAACTTCCTCGACGGAACATCCTGTCAAGGTGGTGGTAAATGTTCTAATGGTGATTGCAAGGGTGCATCAGTCGGCAAAGAAATCACTTCCTGGATTGATGAACATAAGAATCTCGTGATAGGTATCGCTTCTGCAGTCGGCGCTTTAGTCATCTTTGCAATACTCAGTTGCTGTATAGGCAGGATGAGAAGGAGAAAGGCAATTAGATTAGCAAAGGAAAGAGCGATTAATAACCCGCAAGGTTGGCCGCAAGGACCGAATATGTGGCAAGCTCCTCTGAGTGGTCCCAGAGGAGGGGGAGGAGCGGCGGCTCCTGGTGGAGGTACTTGGGTAGATGGAAGGTGGAGACAGGAACCACCTGGATGGCAACCAAGTGTTAGGTATGCTTGATTTGAAAGAGTTTATAGTTTATCTTTGGGTATGGGAAAGTGCATGGCATACATTCGTTATGCATTATATACATCATATGGTGTTTTGGATTGATTCTATGGGGGTCTTGGTATAGGTTCGATGGAACGAAATCAGACATGGCGTTTTCGGGTCTTGGGATTCTTGGGTATAAAGAGGACGGATGGCTTATGGTTCGGTATACTTATATATTAAATACCAGCATACAGCATTACTATGTTCATTTATTATGTTTACTTCTATACTTCTTTATTTAGTTACTTATTTATCTATTACATTGTGGTGGCAAAAGAAGAGAGCGGGGTGTGAGAGAGAGAGAGAGAGTGGGGGGGATGAATGAATGAATGAAATTGATTTGACCAATCGGACTTTTACCATTGTGAAATTTGAAATTTGAAATTTGAAACATACAATTTTGACGTCTAAAATCTGGAATTGTGAATTCTTTGGGGAATACTGAGGTTTGAGGTTTGGGAGGAGAGTGGTTGTTGGCTGTTGGCTGTTGACTGCTGGCTGCTGGTTTCTGGTGACTGGTGGAAGTGTTGAGCTTACAGATGGGACAATGGGATAATAGGTTTATAATTCAGGGAGAAGTTGAAATGCGTGAGAATTGAAGATGGGTGGGTGGGTTTGTAGGTGGATGGGTTGGTGGATATGGATATGGATATGGATATGGATATGTGATTGCAATTTTACTTGGACTTGAACTTGTGATGGTGATGGTGATGGTGATGGTGATGGTGATGGTGATGGTGATGGTGATGGTGATGGTGATGGTGATGGTGATGGTGATGGTGATGGTGATGGTGATGGTGATGGTGACGGTGATAAATTCTACGTGGATCTGTATAGTAAGTAGAAGGGTAGAAGGGTAGAAGGGTAGAAGGGTAGAAGGGTAGAAGGGTAGAAGGGTAGAAGGGTAGAAGGGTAGAAGAGCATACTAACATCGCCGAATTCAAACTAAGTCTTACATCAATACAACTAAATAATATTAACTCTTGTCTTCTCTCTTCTCCTTCTCTTCTCTCTTTTTTGATGTGCCCTGTTCTGTTCTGTTCTGCTCTGCACTACTATTTAATTCCAATTCCTATTCCTGTTCTATTCTATTCACTATTTCTAATCTTCTATCCTGCTTTTCTCTTTGGAAAAACTGGGAGAGGGAGAGGGAGGGAGAGAGAGGGAGAGGGGGAGAGAGGGGGAGAGGGAGAGAGGGAGATAGACA